TCATGACTAATTGCGACTGTCACAATTGTAAAGGTAGAAGTTTTGTAACAAAAAAGGGGGAGTGGTTAATCTTACAGTCCAGAAACAGAGGATCCTAGGACCATCAAGAGAGAAGCGCACAAGCAGAATGTGGGACCTTATCCAGAGAAGCATCAGTGCCAGAGTTGGAGGCAGAGATGGGGACATGGAGAGGGAGAGTGGCTGAGGACTCTAGATTCATGGACTAGGAAGAGAAGGACTAACAGCTGGTGGCCAGGAGGCAGACTTGCAGAATGTGCCCTTTGGAGATGTAAATTATTATATATGCCTGAGTGGTTTGTTTGTTTTTTAAAAAGCTGAAGTGGATAGAGAGAAATACTGTTAACTGATGGTACATGGAGGGGATTATAATCATTGTAATGAAGCAAGGTGTATGATTTATTGAATGTAAAACAGATGATCTGCCCTGTAAACTTTCGTTCAGTCCACAATAAAAACCTTAAATTAAAAACAAAACAAAACAAATAGGAAGCATACCTGCATGGTGAGAAATTCTCTATGCAGTGATAATAGTACTAAAAACCCAGACCAAACCAATTGCCCTCAAGCCAATTCTGACTCCTGAAGACTTCCTGTGTCCCAACAGGACTACGAATAAGGTTTCCAATGACAGTTCAGAAACAGACCATCAATCCTTTCTTCCTGAGATGCCTCTTTGGATGAGATGCCAACCTTTCAACTAATAACCAAGTGCTTAATTTTTTATATCACCGGGACTCCCTAGTAATACTGTTGTTGTTGTTAAGTGTCATGGAGTCAATTCCGACTTATAGTGACCCTATCTGTATAGGGTTTTAGAGGCTGTAAATCTGGTGTGGTCCTGTGGGCTAGTGCATCAGACTGCAAAGTAGTTTGAATTGCAAGGTTGGTGGTTTGAGCTTACCAGCTGCTCCTTGGAAACCCTATGCAGGGTCGCTATGGGTCGGAATCGACTTGACAGCACTTAACAACAACAACAAATCTTTGCTGAAGCAGAAAGCCCCATCTTTCTTCAGCAAAGCAGCTGGTGGGCTCGAACCTCCCACCTTGTGGTGCACAGTCCAGTGCTTATTTTACAGAATCACCACAATCCCCAATAATACTGTTGTTGTTGTTGCTATGTGTGTGGAGTCGGTTCCGACTCATAGCGACCCTGTACAGAGTTTACGAGGCTGTAAATCTTTACGGGAGCAGAACGCCTCATCTTTCTCCCGCGGAACAGCTGATAGTTTCAAACTGCTGACCCTGAGGTTCGCAGCCCAATTCGTAACCACTACGCTACCAGAGCTCTTTTCAATAATACTAGTAAGAGTTAATATTTCTGCCCCAGAAAGAAATGATTTCATCTAATCCTCACACCATCACTACCGTTATTAAGCCCATTGCTGAGGTAAGGAAACTGAGTTCAGAAAGTCCAATACCAGGACACACATCTGGTAAGGAGTGGGGCTGTGGTTTATACTTGATAATCTGTCTCCAGAGATTCTTTATTTAATCACTGCGTATTATTACTCCTTCTCTCTTCTACCTGTTTGTACCTGGTACAGGTGAGGAAAAAAATACACTTCCTTCCTCAATGAGTTTGCTGAAGCCACAGTCACTTGCTGCGTCCCAGGAAGGCAGGGAGTAAATACTGAGA